ACTAACTGACAAAACAAACTATTGATTTCCATGTGTTAATTATAACTAGCAATTATTATTATTACAAACTTTTAGGAAACCTAAAAATATTAGGTCGTAAAACTAAATTATTCAACTTTTAATTGAATTATTAAAATTCCATTGTATGAAGCTCAGAGGTGAATTTTTTCTTTCGAAAGAAGAAATACGTATGTATGTATACATGTATGTATGTAGCTATGTATGTTTGTATGTATTTATGTATGTAGGTGCATATGTTTGTATGTATGTATGTATGTGTGTGTATGTATGTTTGTATGTATATATGTGCGAGCCCTTGGTTAAAAACAATAGCCATAAAATGTATGTATGTATGTATGTGTGTATGTATTATGTATGTATGTATGTATGTATATATGTATGTATGTTTGTGTGCTTGTATGTAAGAATTTTTCAAATATAATTTTGCAATAATAAAACTTATTTACCCAGAATAAATTTTGAAGAAAATATGGAATCTTCTTCAATACCAGGAACATCAAAAACAGCCCAGTCAACGTCATATGTGCAACAAACTGGTCTCTTACTCTCTTCCTCTCTCTCTCTCTTCACAGTTCTAAGATCTGTGTAACAAATGGGTGTCTAACTCTCTCTCTCTCTCTCTTTCTCTTACTCTCTCTTTCTTTCTCTCTTTTTTTTCTCACATTTTCTCTTACTCATGCACTCTTCCTTTAATCTCTACATTATTTCTCTCTCTCTCTCTCTCTCTCTCTCTCTCTCACACACACACATTTTCTCTTAATGCACTCTTCTTTCTATCTCTACATTCTTCTCTTCTCCCATTTTTTCATCCTATTTCCCCTTTTTCTCTCTCTCTTTTTTTGCGGTTGATTTTTAAGATTTATAAAAAAAATGACGGGTGTACCTCTCTCTCTTCCTCTCTCTTCCTCTTTTTCTCTTTCTTTCTCTCTCTCTCTCTCTCTTTCAAACAAAACTAAAAATACTAAAGATGACGAAGATGACGGAATAGACTTAACCGCAGACGTTAAAAGATGACGATGAAGCCTACAAAAAGGTTATTTAAATGCCAAGATGCAGATTATGATTAAGATGAGGTCTATGATGATGGAATGATAACAAAATGACGCAATGATGAAGACGACTATGAAGATGGCGAGGCGATGATGATGATGAAGACGACTACGACGATGAATACGGATTTTATGAATAAATAATGATAAAGAACCGAAATGGATTACAATTAAGGAGTATATAAACCTGAAAATAAGGACAATGATACGATGATGATGGCGATAATGACGCCGGTGTGGCTACCACTACTACTACTACTACTACTTCTGCTGCTGATGTTGATTATGATGATGGCAATGATGATGAAGATGACGGCGACGATGATGAAAAATAAGCGAAAACGAACGGTTAATTCCTTGATGACAAACACACTAGGTGCGCCGTGCCTGAAAAAGCATCAAGAAAACTAACTTTTACAAAAACCGGTTAACATTACGGTGATATCACAGACGTTATAATACCGCAAAATACCATATAATAAGAGACCTATATGCATACAACATTAAAAAACTACAACTGCTGTCGCTTATACTGCCTCTACTGCTGCAGCTGCTGTCGTTGCTACTACTACGACCGCTACGCATGTTTTTCAAGTATATATATAAATATACACTCACTTATACAAATACAGACATGCTTACACTTACATATAGAATAATTTTAAATACAAAAACACCTTTGTGTGTGTATATGTGCGTATGTTTGTTTGTATGTATGTTTGTTTTGTTTATTTGTATGTATTTATTTGTTTGTATGTATGTTTGTATGCATGTGGGTATGCATGTACTTATGTATGTTATATATGTACAACCAAACAAACAAGCAAATACACGTACAAACATACATACAAACAAACACAAAACATACAAACACAAAACATAATACAAACATACATTGAAAATAGCGTAATACCGGATGAACATAGTGACAAACAAGCACCGGTATAAATCAAATATTATCGCTAGATGGCCAACTAGACGAGATCTCATCACCTGGCTCAGTGCACATGGCGTCATCAGAATGGATGACGGTGATGAAGGAGAAGACGACGATGACGTCAGAACTTTTGGGATGGTGGTGATGTTTCGGAGAAGGATACGGTCGAAATGATGAGAAAATGAGATGACGATGATGACTGTGTGTGACGATGACGATCATCAGATGCAAGGATAACAATATGTTGTGATGATAATATGACGATGATAATAATTTGTGACAGTGATCACAACGGCACTGACTTCTGCAAGAGGCTTGTCTGGAAGAGATAAGAGAGAAAAAACAGATAGTATTGAGATGATGATTAATTACACTGTTCATAAATAACCACGCTAAACTCAAACAAAATACAAATATACAAGCTTTTATACAAATAAAAATGAATACATACAAACATAAACACAGACATACACACAAACAAACATGCATACAG